ATACAATAAATAAAAAAATTTGAAAACAATACACTCACATAAACATATAAACATAAAGCTGGACTGAGGACGTGTCCATAAAGCACACATCGCTATTATCATAAAACCCTCAGTTATTTGAAGTTCTGAGGACAAGACACAAACACAATGCTCAGTGATTCACAGAAGTATATCACAGATCAAACTAATCAGGGTGTCTTTCTCAGGCAGAAATGTAGATAAAAATAATGAAATCCTGTTCCCCAACAGTGCAAAACCACAGAGTCAAGAATAGGTTAAATATACAAATAAAATAAAATCAATTAAAAACAATAGCACATCAACATAAAAACATATAAACATAAATCTGAAAGCGTTGCTCAACTCCCGTAACAGTCCAGTTATTTTAATCTTTGAACCGCTTCATGTCTGCCACATGTTGGGGTCGCGCACACATTTTTCAGACAGGGAAGTGAGCTGCATCACCACCGGCAAGTTGCGTCTCCCACAATGACAGCTTCAACTTGAAAGAACGTATGCTGTCATAATACTGCGTGACAACTTGTTGCCCTTGCAGCTGTTTGTTCAAGTTATTCAGGTGCTCTGTAACATCCACCATAAATGCAAGGTCCGGCATCCATTCTGCGGAATGAAATTCTAACACGGTTTTGCCATTTTCTCTCCATGAACTGTTCAATTTCTTCTCGTAAATCAAAGAAACGCCTCATCACAGCACCTCGGCTTAACCATCTTACCTCAGTGTGGTATGGCAGGCCATAGATGTGGTCTTTCTCTCTGAGAAGGCTGTCAAACTGACGGTGATTCAGGCTTCTGGATCGGATGAAATTAACAGTTTGGATGACCACCTTCATGACGTTATCCATCTTTAATGACTTGCAACACAAAGCCTCCTGTGCAAATACAGTGAAAAGTCAAAAAATCACGTCCTCCATTTGCAGATTGCACTTTCTCTCTGAACTTTGTCACAACGCCTGCTTTTTTTCCCGATCATTGAGGGCGCACCATCTGTAGCCAGGCTGACCAGCGCGGGACCAGTCCACTCCGACCCTGTCCAGCGCGCCGACCAGTGCGGTAAAAATATCAGCTGCTGTCGTTGTATCTGTCATCGGCACCAACTCCACGAACTCCTCGGTGACGGTCAATGTGTCATCAACTCCCGCGGATTAAAAATGGCCAGTTGTGCAACCATCTGTAATGTCCGTGCTTTCATCAATTGCAACCGAAAACGCAATAAATGACTTTACTTTTTGCTTCAACTGGCTGTCCAAATCCACTGAAAGATCGGAAATCCTGTCTGCAACTGTGTTTCTTGTCAGGCTGATATTTGCAAAGCCTGCCGCTTTTCAGGGCACACAATCTCCCTGCCTTCATCATGCATGTTTTTACAAATTCACCCTCACTAAATGGTTTTGAAGCCACTGCGATTTCATTAGCAATGAGGTAGCTAGCTTTCACTGCAGCGTCACTGATGTCCTCGGCTGTGAGTAAACACAGACTGCTGTTTCTTCAGACCCGCCAACAGTTCATTCACTTCTCTCATCTCCGCTGTCCTTGAAAGTTGTCATATTTGTCGGCATGAAGACTCACATAGTGGCGACGAAGGTTATATTCTTTCAGCACTGCAACATGCTCTGAACACACCAAACATACAGCTTCCCATTCAATTCCGTGATTAAATAGGATGACCATTTTTCTTGGAAACACTCTGCACTCTGCTCCACTTTTCTCTTTTTTGACAGAGACATATTGGGGCAATGAGGGTGCCAAAGCACAAAATTTAAAAGTAGAAGCCGTAAAAAAATTTCGCGGGCAAAACAAAGTGCTCATTGCTGCACGTGTTTGCCCACTTGTCTGCCCCGGTATAAAAATTTGCTTGTTTAAAAAATTGTATTGCCCCCATCCAGGGGGACGCAATTGGAACAGCTTTTTTTATTAAAAAAAATTGCAGGCTTTTTTATACAAAAAAAAAAAAAAAAAATTTCAAATCATCTCGGGCGGGTTTAAACCCTTTCGGGCCCGATCCGGCCCCCCGGGGGCCCTAAGTTTTTACACCCCTGGTCTAGACAGGGGGGGAAATCCTGAAGTGGGCAGCCAGATCTGAAAACAAAGCACTTTTTTTGCGAAAGAAAGTTTGCTGGTTTCAATGGGATATAGGAAGGTTCAAAAAATAATCGCCTTTTTATTCCCATTGCCTCATAAAATGACAAAAAAAAAAGTCTAGGTTTTTAAAAAATTCAGTTTAGGTTAAAAGTTTCAAATGTTAACTCCTTTTTTGCCAGATTGGCAGGTGGTGTGTTGCATGCGCCACAGGACGGGGCCCTTTTTCCCCCCACACTCTTAGAAAAAAAATTTTTCCCGAGGGTTTTTAGGCTGTCCCCAAGGAAAACCCTTTTTTGGGTTTCCCGGTAGAACCTTTTTTGGTTTCCCGGGAATCGGAGAAAAAAGTTTTTTAAAGGAACCAAAAGGGTTCTACCTGGAAACCCAAAAAGGGGTTTTTCAAAGGGTTTCCAGGGGACGTTGGAACCTTTTTGGTTCTTAAAAAACCTTTTTTTTTGGGTTCTGAACGAACATGCCCCCAAATATGTCGACAGAACATTTTATTTGTCAAAAATACTGGCGTTTTCCATATAAAGAATTAAAAATCTTTAAAATTTGGGTACATTTTCAGGGGCCTCCCCAGTTTTCAGGGCCCGGACATGACGGCTTTTGCCAATACCATAGGCTTCACCTACACTTCGACATGTAGGCTAATTATTTATGGACATTTACATACGCTTTTTTTTTTTCATAACCTAACAGGTATGGTGCTCTGCCCTTCAAAGCTTGTGTTTGTCAGGTGAAAAAGGATCAAACTGTTTGATGACATTCAAAATTAAATAAAATTGTATTTGCCCACATGTGCTGAATGAAAAGGTGAATGAAAATGCTTACTTACAAGCCCTTAACCAACAATGCAGTTTTAAGAAACTTAATTGCTGTGATGGAGAAAATGATGTAACAAAGAAGGACAAATCTATAACACCTCAAGAAAAATATCAGAATCAGACAACAGAATAGCTACGTAACAGAATAAACTACTGTTTTCAAATCAATTTAATTGGGTATTTTGGTTTAAAGGCCTTGGGCCCTGGCAGTTTGGGCATCTCTTTAATGCCAAATGGCCTTGCCCCTATATCACCCAAATTCCAGGCCTGCCAGGACCCCCCTCCCAGGCAACCGGGGACCCAGGGATCCGAAACATACATTAGCAACAAAAAAAAATTTTTTTCCACGTCTTGACTTATCATCAGGGTGAATGATAATGGCAAGGAGAAATAATCAACATTTTAAAATGATAGATTTGGTAGATCGTTTTCATTATTTTGACCTCCCCCACATTATAAGTGGAAGAGGGGAAAGTATAAACTCTAATATAGCCTATTATCTAGAAAAGTGTATTCCCAAGTCCAAACACATTTTCGCAGCCTATGTCTCCAGTCAGTGTAATTGGCTGCAATGAGTGTAATTCGCTCAATATTAGGTGTTGAGAAATAAAGTTGACATTCATTATAAAGAAGACATTCTCCTCTTTTCTACTGTAGGTAGCCTATGTAATTCAAAATTAATGTATTATGTTGTTGCTAGCGATCTACTTTTTTGCGGACCCCCTGCAGTACCGGTCGAACAGAACACTCCTGCTAAAGCCTGAAAAACCTGTTTTTCGGATGCTGTGGAAAGATCTCATATTTTTCGTCCGGTTGTGGACGCAAAGCTCTGGACAGCTGTGCGGTTTCCGACAATCTCTTCTACTTTCACTCGTCCCCAAAACGTACACAGCCTGCCTCACTGATGCCAATCTAACCCAAACTAAAGCACTCCTCCCAGTTCCGATATCTTTTATTATTTAAAGTGAGCTGGAAACCTGCTGGAACCACCAGGGATTCAGGGATCTGGATTGGGCATGGCTGCAGGTAAATATACTTCACTGTCTCCTTTCACCTGAGCATTCAAACTAACTCAGCTTCATTCCAGAGACACCTTTGTCACGCCTCACGCGGTGTGGTAGCAATTTATCACCTCGCTCCATGAACGTCAAATGGTGGGATAGCGCTAAAGATAGCAATGCTACGCCTAGGTGGGAACATTGTTCTACGCCGCGTCAGTCAACACAAATCATCCGGAAGAAGTCGCACTGAAGTCGGATAGGATGTTGCGGCACTACAGGGGGCCTGAGTTGGAATGAAAACGTGTTATATTGGTAGCCTACATCATAACAGAACAGGTTGCTGCTCTGCCCTTCAAAGCTTGTGTTTGTCAGGTGAAAAAAGGATCAAACTGTTTAGATGACATTAAGCCATCATTGCTGTGATGGAGAAAAATGCTGTAATAATGAAGGACAAAACTATAAACACCCTCAAAATAACAGAATCCGACAATATATTACAATCTTATTTTGTTGGAATCAAGAGGGGAATAGCTTTTGGGATTTCTAATCGCAAATAAACATTCAACATCTTTATTTTATCGATCTTTATGACAAGAATATCTCTCAATGCTCGAGACCTGAGGAGACACTACTGCCTCTTTTGTCAATATTTTAGATTAGCCCATAAATCGGATAATAACTAACTCTGTAAAGACCTTGTTTGGTGAGAAACACCACCCACAACTATTCTCTCTAGTTCAGACGTGTGTATGGTGCTGGGTATGTCAGACCAGAAGGAGGGTTTCAGTATCAAGGACTCTTTTCTAAAACAGGTGTGACAACTTCACTGTCTCTGCATGTTTATTTTCTAATTAAAAAGTTGCTTAATTGAACGGAGTTTAGGATAAGCCTTTATATTAACATTAATTTTATTTAATCTCTCCTGGCCATAAGGGACTGACAGATGTAGCTACACCAATGGTTTAGACCGTTTGGCATTTTATGGACAGCTTCTCCCGCTCCGACCAATGAATGAATGCGACCATGCGCAACTGGCAAAAAATGATTGCTGTCCTTTATGAAATGACCCTGTTCATGTAAAAATGACCAAATACATTCACCGTTTAAAGCAAAACTACCAAAACTATTTCTTATGGTGAACTTGAACACTCTAAATAAAATCTGAATGATTGAAAATCCCAATCAGAAGTTGGATGTGAGTTGCGTCCACTCCGGTAGGCTACACAACTCGGGTAAAACCCCCTTCTACAACGCATTTGGTGACAATGACCCAGCAAATTTCATTGGTTGTCACTCAACTAATAAAGCTTATGATTGTACATTGTGAAAGCCATTTTACAAGCATCTGAATGCAGATGTACGAATAGCCTCCTACAACAATTAGAACAGGGATAGGCCTACCTCTCGTTGGCACGAGTCGTATGCATAAAAGTATGGAGACATTTTTTTTTGTATGCACTCACTAACTGTAAGTCGCTCTGGATAAGACCGTCTGCTAAATTACTAAAATGTAATAGTCTACTGAACTGAAGGAGAGGACGCATCAATTTAGTCATAACAGATTAGGTATTTTCGGAATGAAAACAATATGAGTAAAAAAACACCTATTAGTAATGTTTGAATCGGTTTTCTGACCGATTCATGCTTAATTTGGATCGGTTTGGGCTTCCGCGGACCGATGCACTCATATCTTAAATATTTGAACCGAGACCGATGCGTATCGGTAAATCGTTACATTCCTAGTGTCTCCACATACACTACATGACCAAAAGTATGTGGACACCTGCTCGTCGAACATCTCATTCCAAAATCATGGGCATTAATATGGAGTTGGTCTCCCCGTCGCTGCTATAACAGCCTCCACTCTTCTGGGAAGGCTTTCCACTAGATGTTGGAACATTGCTGGCCGGGGGACTTGCTTCCATTCAGGCAACAAGAGCAGTAGTGAGGTCAGGCACTGACCGGGGCAGCTCTAGCAGGGCAAACATTTGACGAACTGACTTGTTGGAAAGGTGGCATCCTATGATGGTGCCACATTGAAAGTCACTGAGCTCTTCAGTAAGGCCATTCTACTGCCAGAATTTGTCTATGAAGATTGCATGGCTGTGTGCTCAATTTTATACACCTGTCAGCAACGGGTGTGGTTGAAATAACCGAATCCACTCATTTGAAGGGGTGTCCACATACTTTCTGCCATATACAGTGGGGAGAACAAGTATTTGATACACTGCCGATTTTGCAGGTTTTCCTACTTACAAAGCATTTAGAGGTCTGTAATTTTTTTATCATAGGTACACTTCAACTGTGAGAGATGGAATCTAAAACAAAAATCCAGAAATCACATTGTATGATTTTTAAGTAATTAATTTGCATTTTATTGCATGACATAAGTATTTGATACATCAGAAAAGCAGAACTTAATATTTGGTACAGAAACCTTTGTTTGCAATTACAGAGATCATACGTTTCCTGTAGGTCTTGACCAGGTTTGCACACACTGCAGCAGGGATTTTGGCCCACTCCTCCATACAGACCTTCTCCAGATCCTTCAGGTTTCGGGGCTGTCGCTGGGCAATATGGACTTTCAGCTCCCTCCAAAGATTTTCTATTGGGTTCAGGTCTGGAGACTGGCTAGGCCACTCCAGGACCTTGAGATGCTTCTTACGGAGCCACTCCTTAGTTGCCCTGGCTGTGTGTTTCGGGTCGTTGTCATGCTGGAAGACCCAGCCACGACCCATCTTCAATGCTCTTACTGAGGGAAGGAGGTTGTTGGCCAAGATCTCGCGATACATGGCCCCATCCATCTTCTCATCAATACGGTGCAGTCGTCCTGTCCCCTTTGCAGAAAAGCATCCCCAAATAATGATGTTTCCACCTCCATGCTTCAAGGTTGGGATGGTGTTCTTGGGGTTGTACTCATCCTTCTTCTTCCTCCAAACACGGCGAGTGGAGTTTAGACCAAAAAGCTATATTTTTGTCTCATCAGACCACATGACCTTCTCCCATTGACCGTCATCTTGAACTTCTTCCATTTTCTAATAATTGTGCCAACAGTTGTTGCCTTCTCACCAAACTGCTTGCCTATTGTCCTGTAGCCCATCCCAGCCTTGTGCAGGTCTACAATTGTATCCCTGATGTCCTTACACAGCTCTCTGGTCTTGGCCATTGTGGAGAGGTTGGAGTCTGTTTGATTGAGTGTGTGGACAGGTGTCTTTTATACAGGTAACGAGTTCAAACAGGTGCAGTTTAATACAGGTAATGAGTGGAGAACAGGAGGGCTTCTTAAAGAAAAAACTAACAGGTCTGTGAGAGCCGGAATTCCTACTGGTTGGTAGGTGATCAAATACTTATGTCATGCAATAAAATACAAATTAATTACTTAAAAATCATACAATGTGATTTTCTGGATTTTTGTTTTAGATTCCGTCTCTCACAGTTGAAGTGTACCTATGATAAAAATTACAGAGCTCTAAATGCTTTGTAAGTAGGAAAACCTGCTAAATCGGCAGTGTATCAAATACTTGTTCTCCCCCACTGTAGCGTATGTATGAGGACACTTTCCTAATATTGAGTTGACCCCCCCTTTTGCTCTCAAAACAGCCTCAATTCATCAACTACAGTTCTTGACAGAACCGGTGCGCCTGGCACCAACTACCATACTCCGTTCAAAGGCACTTAATATTTTGTCTTTCCCATTCACCCTCTGAATGGCTCACATACACAATCCATGTCTCAATTGTCTCAAGGCTTTAAAATCCTTCTTTAACCCGTCTCCTCCACTTCATCTACACTGATTGAAGTGGATTTAATAAGTGACATCAATAAGGGATCATAGCTTTCACCTGGATTCACCTGGTACGTCTATGTCATGGAAAGAGGTGTCCTTAATGTTTTGTACACTCAGTGTAAATGTGATGATGTTGATAGGCTTATCGCTAACAGCTCTGCTATCGCCCAGTCATGGTGAACAGCCAGGACCACCAGCAAGAGTGTTTTTGTTTGTGAGTGATCATGTCTACACCTCTATCACCTCCTCCCCCTCTCCTTCTCTCGCCCCAGACCCAGCCATGAGGGACCGTCTGAGCCACATGCAGGAGCTGTCCCAGTCCAATGGCCATGTGGAGCAGATGGACTATGCCGAGTCCAGGGAGTCCGTCTCCGGGGACTCCTTCAGCAATGTGGACCTGGAGGAGGAGCTCCCTCACCAGGCTGTGGTGTGGGACAACACCCCTGAACTGGAGGAGGTCTTCTCCCAGTCCCAGGAGGTCCACCGTGAGGTCCAGCTTATACGCCTGGAGGTCAAACGTCTCCGTGAGCAGAACTCACTCGTGCTCCAGGGCACCACTAGGATGTCGGACGTTAAGAGAGACTCCAACGCCATCGCGGCTGACATCAAGGCCCGCGCTGAGGGTGTGCTGACGTGCCTCAAGGACATGGACGCCGCAGTGCGGGTGCTGGAGGCAGCACACGGCTCCAACGCCGCCTTGACTCGCATCGCCAGGACCCAGTACGCCTGCCTGAGTAACGGCTTCCGCGATGCCATGTTCGACTACAATGAGGCAGAGATGAGCCACAGGGAGAGTTGCAAAGCCCACATTCAGAGGCAGATGGAGATTGTGGGGCGGGAGGTGACTGGTGAGGAGGTGGAGGAGATGATCGAGACAGGCCAGTGGAACGTCTTCAACGAGAACATCCTGTCAGAGGGCAAGACGGCGCGCTCAGCGCTCAACCAGATCGAGAGTCGCCACCGGGAGCTGCTGGACCTGGAGAGCAGGATCCAGAGCATCCATGAGATTTTCCTGGATGTGGCTCTGCTGGTGGAGGAGCAGGGCCCCATGATGAACACCATCCAGTCCAATGTCCAGAACACAGATGTGGCCATCCAGGAGGCACTGGTCAAAATCAGCAAGGCCAAGCGCCATGACAAGAACAACCCCTTCAAGAAGATGTTCTGCTGCTGCTTCCCCTGCGTCAACTGAGGCAGAGACTGATGAGACTGAGGAAGAAGACTGGGCAGTGTTGTACTACTCAGTCCGGTCTCGAGAAGGTCTTGTCTTGGTGTCCGGTCTTGACTTGATCTCGGACAGTGAGGACTCAATTTCTTCCTGAGACCAGCAGAGACCAGCGAAGTACAACACTGATAATTATCTGCTTCCATTTAGCTAATGCATAAAAGCGCTTTGCCAGGCCAAATATATACACTCCTTTCTTGAAACATTAATATCTTATCGCCTATTGAAACCTGGGAATCCTACTTTACTCTTAACATTACTGTCCTTTACTTTCTTAGAAACATATCCTCAAACTTTGTCTTTATTTCCTTGACTCCCTGGTAGAGAAGAGTGGGGGAAATTGTTGGAAAGTTGTGGCTCACTATTAGAGTAAGGGGAGACAGGGGAAAATTGTAACAGTCTTTATATCTATTATAAGACATGTTTGCGCAGTGGAGAAACCTATTGGACCTAGGCCTTCAGTGTGTGACAGGCTCGTGATTCTGAAAGGACAGCAACCATAATACCAGCGCACTCATGTAGGAGAGTGCACTTTTTGTAAAACACAAAGGGCCTGTGGTGTAGTGGAAGCTATACGCAGGTATACACCCTATACCCACTTTGTTTTTCAGTGGGCATTGCCTATACTCGCTTCTTAATCTCTTCTGTTGCGTATCAAAGTAGTGTAGTGGAGGTATATGACTTACTAATTATGTAATACAAGATAAATCATGCACAAAGTAGCCTACACATATCGCAAAGCACGTGAAATATATTCACATGCACGCAGCACACATAGCCTCGTTTCAGCGGAATATCATCTGCAGGCAGCAAGAGCGCGCAGCTCTCAACTGGTTGTCGTGTGGAGCAGCTCACAGAAGAGTGACATCGGTAGCCGGTAGGTAGGAAAGACGTTTCAACTTATGATATATACCAGTAAATGCTAACTAAGGCAACAATGGGTTTGCAAAGCAGGTATTGTAGGCTATTTGCGATGCGCAATTCAGTCATCATGGCTGTTTGCATGAACATTTAGGATTTTTCATACAGGTTGCCTGCCTTTCCTTCACTCAGGACCCACTTCTCCAGGCACCACTACACCACTGCATAGGACCGATGGAAAGACAGCAGTTCATTCACTCAGACATAAGCCAGTAGGTCCCACTCATAAGAATACAAAAATACAACCATTAGGCTAAGCATTTCCCAATTGAAATGTACAACTATTACTTCCCATTGCAAAAAACATTTCACGTTTATCACAAAGTAACCGGTGATCTAAAGTTTAAATTCAATAATGTTTCACACATAAGTTATTTTCAAAGTGATGGCTACCAACAGCATGCGAGCTGCAATAAAACCCACAGTTCCACTCACCAGATGATAATCATTTAAAACTTAACTTCTTGTTGAAAGTTAATTCTTGAAAAGAGAGAAGCTAACAAATTAGCAACAACATCCTCTTCGATAACACCTGCAGCAGCCGATGCAAAACTAGCCTACAACAAAAGCTAGCTAGCTAGACCATGGGAAAACTACTGCTCACTATTGCACAGTGACCTCTTGGCCTACAAGAAGGTAGATGTTTCCATAAATGTTGTAAAACGATCCCACCCATTACAAGTTACAATGTGATTGGTTGATTTCACTGTCACTCCAAAATGTTGCCCTAATATAGTTGAATGGAGATGCTTTCTATGGCATTTCTGATAGCCTAGCCAATGGCTGATTTAGCTAGCTAGATTTATCTCCCCAGAGACCACCAAAGAAGAATCCTGATTGGATATTTTTTCTCTTCGGTGTTAACCCTTTCCTTTCTATCAAAAACTGAAGAGATTCATTCAGAACATCATTGAAAATAATAATATTATTATTATTTTATAAATCCTTAGCCTTTCTCTGAAAAGCCCTCATTGTTCCCCTCTGTGTTTGGGTTAGTAAAAATGTGTAGAGTGGCTCTATTTGCCCTCACCATGCATTGTTTCACCATTCTGAATGTCAAAAGAATCCATATGTTCTTCTGAAATATGAACACAGAAATACTGGTCATTTTGAACTCTTATTATGGTGACAATTTGACAAAATTACAGTCATGGTCTTGATGTGGACTCGCATTTTTGACTCGGACTGGATTCTCTCCGGTCTTGGTCTTGAATCGGTCTCGCTTTAGGTGGTCTCGAACACAACACTGAGACTGGGACTTCTGAGGGATGTCCCATAGAGAGGGAAATACTGTAGGTCAGGACTCATACACTAGAAGGGTGGAATCCTAACTTGAGATTATTATGGGCATGTACAACTCAGAAGTTGGTTTAAATGATGTATTCATGTCAATTGGATATTTATGCGTGAAAATATTGAGTTGCGTAAAATGTTAGGATTTGTCACTAAGTGACTGAGATGTGATGTCATAGCGACTATGTACCTGCAGATTTGGATGAAAATAGTTTTGTTTGGGACAGGAAGTAATATATCTTTTTTCAAGACTTCTAATGTGTTGTCCTGGTGACGTTGTCAACATTTGTCATGAAACATTTTTGTAGCCTTAGTTATCATGTGTTAGAAAAAAGTCAAATCTCGCTGAACCATCCCATCAACCACCCTTGGATACCAATGTCAATAATTATATTATTTGCTTTTTTAAATATGCTTTTCAGCCACTGAAGTACATCTAAACAAACATATATCAGTGCCTTTCTAGAAGAAGAAAAAATACAGTTATTTTCTGCCATAGAAACATTTGTTTTCTACCCTCCTATAATTAATTCCCTCTACCCATAACAGTATATTAACTGCGAGACAATAATGGTTAAATAAAAGTGTATTTTATTGTTGTTCTCTGTCTGAACATTAAATCCACAACTTTAAATTATATATTAAATTAGCATCAAATTAAGAATACTTTTTGTCAAGAGTATTTTGTACACGAGCACAATGTCAATTTTACTTTGATTACCAGTCACAATATAGTTGACACTATGGTCTCTCTCTGTCTCTCAAATTCAAATTCAATATACTTGAACAGAATGAGTCCCACCGTAGCGCTGGCGTGTTTTGGACTTCTAGCCCCTTTTAAACATATTGTTTTGCTCTATGACACTCACAAGCTACACAAGAGTTGTTAGAAGCTAAGGGGTTCTTCTATATAGAAGATCGTAGGAAATGCCAGGACATAGTGTCTATAATACTGTAATAAGCTCACATAGTTGCTGTCACAAACTCCAAACTCCACACAGTTGTCACTGACTAGTTGGATATAGATTTCCCACTGAGCAAACTATTTCTGCACGTACAGCATTCATATCAATTCATTTTTATCAGGTTTTTGCTTTGGCAGACTTCATTTTCTTATTGACATTTGTCAATAAAACTTGTGAATGCAACTGTTTATGTCAAATTGTTTTGTGTTCTGGTTGTCCTGAAAATGGTAAAACACTTCATTGCGAGGCTAAATATAAGGACTGGACATGCAGATAATGAAAGTCAAATAAATGAAAATCCCATTTTTGCTGGGGTCTCGGAACTGATAGGGTTAATGGCATGAATGGCAGGTCAATGTTGCTAAGTGATACACAAAAACAACAGCAACAACAATAAGAATAGTAGCTACTAACTTTAATACTAAAGCCACATAATGTGCTGCCAACTCTATCACATCAGACCTTTCCCGCAAAAGTGTACAAAGCAACTATGCAGAGGTTGTTGATTCTGCTCTTCAGAAGTCCTCAGTGTCAGCCCCAGCTATGGAAACACAGTTCCAAAAAACAACACTAGTCAACACTGTCACTCTCTCTGTCTCTCTTTAAAATCCTGTTTGCCCAAATTATGCATGACCATTACGCGTTGCCACAATGATCTGATCTGATCAGCTCCTCACGTGAATTCTAAACAGAACGCCTTGTCTTTACAGTTCAATAAAATCACCATGATGTCCCCTATGTCCAAGATGCTATTTGAGATAGACGAGAAGGATGCGTAAATTACTCATGGCGCATCATAGGCCACCAGACATTTATTCAGGGCGAAAACGCCCTAAATTATCTCATATATTCAGACACTGAATTGGGATACTTTGAAGGAACTGCCACGAGTGGTGGCTGTCATCGGCTGCTTCAAGGAAAAGGACAACACCCACACCCGCAAGGCGCACAGAGATGCTCTCCTGATGAGTTTGGCTTGAATAAACCGGAGGATTTATAATAAGTAAACATTTTAAGTGGTTTTGGTCCTTTGGTCATGTCAGAGTCCGTGCCCATGGGTAATAGGTAATTGAGTGCTTGGCTAGTAGCCTAGAATAGACTAGATTAGAATGAGTCATTTCAGGTAATGAACTTTAATAGCACATTATATTAAAGACACAAATACTATAATAATCAGAGTCTTTTATTATTTTCACACACATATGGGGCTGCTTTTGTGTGTGTATATTTTTGTAAACATGGCATTACAGCTACTATTTCTAACTACCAGACAACATTCAGACATGGTGTCCAATTGCTTGCATATTGCACACAGCCTGTGACAATATTTGCTTTTTAGATTAGGGCTGCACTGTAAAATAAATAATATATTTGATTCAACAAATTATTCTTTATTAACTGGTTCAACACTGGGGAGCCAGGCCCAGCCAATCAGAATGAGTTCTTCCCCCCAAAAGGACTTAATTACAGACAGAAATGACCCTTACCTTAACCAAACCCTTAACCCTAACTCTAACCTAATTTTAAACAATGCTGAAAATAAATATCGCTTTGCAGGTCATGAGTGTTCGTATAGCTTTTTCCCTGCAGAACACATTTCCTTGTTCCTGGTTAGAACCTATGTCTAAAAACATGTGTATCTACATTCCTCTGATGTAATGTACTGTGACTGCTGCAGCCTCTACCTGTGTCCAATCTTAGAAACAGGAAATACACAGTGGTAATATGACACCGAACCGAACATTAAGATACTGTATTGGTCCAGACAGTGGTTATGCAAAATCTACCCAGCAAACTATTCACCAGGTGTTTGGTTCAAGGGTT